CACATATCTATGAGCTTCAAAAACAGACCTAGTATTGGCTACAGAACAACCAAAGGAGAGACTAGGCCTAGGCCTATGCAGCAGCAGCGAGCCGAAACGTTCATTTTTTTCTTGTCAGTCAGGACAGAATCTGCCGCGTGGGCTCAGTCAGAGGCCGATGGATTTTATTTCACAAAATATGGAACTTATATCTCGCAAATGTCATATATTTCTAATGCAATTAGTTGTTTACGTTTTGATCATCACTTAACTCTAAATTCACCTACTGTACAGTAATTTTAACGATCTCAATGACATTCAAAAACATACCATCTTTGATCCAAACACACTTCCATTTCTTGTTATTGTGCGCGGGATCTCAGTTTTGTCGCGGGGCCGGGTCTCGGATCGGTTGGCTCGATTTGCATGACTGCACTCGAAATAAAGATGGCTGCGCCCATGAGGGTCCTGGTTGGTGTGAAAGACGAAGTATTGAATGGGACAAACTCGAATTTTCTAACGAATAAAATAGGAGGAAATCCAGTAGGTACAGATTTCCATTTGTAATAGGCCTATCCTATGCCTACCCTATCTACTATCAGTACGCTAGGCCTAGTAGTAGTAGTAAGCTAGGCTAGGCCTCCCTATCTAGGCCTAGAAAGGTTTCCGTAGGTGAGTGCTTCCACCACACTCCAGTGACACAGACTTTAGCACTATGTAATAACTATAAGGAAGTGATCATTTTCTCATGAACACTCGTTTTCATTTTCATTAGACCTAAAAATGTAAATTATATGTTACTACTTGCCCTACCCACAAACCACAGATTTTTTTAATTTGAAAATCCGATGCACTAGCTAGAGGCTAGGCCTAGCCTAGGCCTACGGCTTACTTTAGGTCTAGCCTAGATAAGATGCAGCATTGTGCCCGACTGCTGGAAACAGTTTGATAGTAGTAGAGCTACCAGTTTTTTTTTTGTTTTTTTTTTTAATTTTGTTTTTTTAAATATTTTATATGTTTTACCAGACTAACAATACTCTATCTCCTACTGGTATTACTTAAAATTCATGAGACTTAAACATGATGTAATTTTTTTTCCCAGTGTTTATGATTACTTATACTAGGCCTATTTTGTATTCCACTGAGGGCTAGCTACTTCTATTATACACATATATTATATATATAGGCTAGGTCTAGATTCTATGTCAAATATGAAAAATTTGATAGGAAATGGCAATGCTGCAGCTATGGCCACAAGTTCATCACTCAGTTTACTTTGACTATAACACCTCCATACCATCTAGTGTACAAACAAATGCAGGCTGTAGTTGAATACTGGCCACAATGTTAAGTGATACAGTAGTTTGTGGCTGTTGTTCCCATTTGCCATAGGTAGATGAAAATAAAACATGAAAAACCTTTAAAAAAAAGCCTTTATTTTTAAAGCAGCCTTTTTTATTACTGTATAACAATGTCCCATTTTGCTCTGTAGGATTGGATCCATGGTGGAAAACAAAAAAATCCTGCTTGCAAATTGTGTGGAAAGATCCTCTACCTTGCCGTCCAAGTATACTGCCCTCTGGAGGGCTCAAAGTATCATAGAACTCTCTATATTTTTGCTTGTGCGAACAGATCGTGTTGGAATAAACAAGAGAGGTAAATTACTTATTATATACTGACTACATAGATTCTAGGTATTTGATTGGTTAAAAGCTGGGTAACAGTTGCAGCCATGCCCTCTAATGCCTACAGTCTATGTAGTGGTATATAAAACAAATATTTACTGGGTTTTAATCGGGTCATAGTTCAAAATGTAGCCCTTGGTGATCTGGAAGCATAAAATGTCCCTCGACTTCGTCTGGGGACAGAGTACATTCTCCAGATCAGCTCAGGCTATATTTTGAACTAGATGCCGCTCAACCCAGTAAATATTTGTATACTACAGTTTCTAAGTCGACATTGCCTAACTCAAATAATTTCTAAGTTGAACTTATTTTAGGGCAAATAGAAAAATTTATTAGATTATTACTCCCGGCCGCGTCAAAAATTTGGGAAATATTGACGCGGGAATAAAAAAAAAAATTTGCCGCATCAATTATTTCAACAGCATAAAAATAACAATGCAATTTTGTGACTTCAAATACATTTTCTTTAAAAAAAAAAAACTATAAAATTAAACCAGTTTTTATACAATATTTACTATTAATAGCCAAATATAAACAGTCCCTCCCTCATTGATACAAACAAAAGTGAAATAATCTATTGTTCCGATTAAAAAAAAAACACCTTCCCTCATCGAATTTTTTTTTTAAAAAGAGTGATAGTCTAATTTTATCTAAGTAGAACAATTTTTCAATGGCATTTTGGATTCGACTTTGTGCAAGTTCAACTGTATATAGTAAGTATTAGTGGCATTTCAGTGAATTTATTTGATACATCCTGCTTTAACACGTAGGATCGGAACCTCTTGTTAACTATAATAGCCATATGCACGCATCAAGTACAAAGATTACATTTTGTCCACAAACTTTTCTCTTATCAGCTGGGATATTCTGCGATCTCAGAAGGTAGCTGCTCCAAAATCTAAGAAAGCTGAAACAAAAGTGGATGAGGTTGTTCTGGCAACAAGTGACTGGTGCAATGATGCTGACGATTGGGGTTGTGATGGTGATAACAATGACTGCACAGACTTGAGTTTACAAGCAGAACGTTTTTGTGACAAAGAGGGCTATAATGGTGGAAATAAATTAGAGATATCAGAACAATCAAATGTGTGTGAACAGGGAGTTACTGGGGATTTTACTTCCCAAATGCTGGATTTAAGACTACATGATGACTTGGTTGTACAAGCAGAGGCGACGGATGAATTTTTGTCATTTTATATCAATGTTTTTGAAGAACCAACAGAACACACACATACAGCACATGAACTTAGACTTGTGAAGGAATATGAGAAAAGAGAGGGACTAGATTTTATGGATTGGCATGACAATTCCAGTAATAAAGGGTATGACACCAATACCATGTTTCTTTCATAGATCATAAAATATATTTCAAATGTTGGGACATTACTTGAAACAGTATCATTTTTATAGTTAAAAAAAAAAACAAGTTCCTTTTCTATTAACAGGTGCATAATACTGTTATTATTTGGCATAAACCCATACAAAGTACCATAAAACCTCAGGCTCCTTCTTTTCTATGCGAACTTTGGATGGGCTTCTTTTCAAGATGGGCTTCTTTTCAAGACTACTTTTGCTAAGTAAAGAGGGGGGG